AAACACAAGTGTAATTTCTTTTTCCCAATAAAATATCTGCAGTAGTCCGGAGACGTAGGCATTATTAGCCGAACTCCGTTATCAAATTGGTGTGTCCAATTTTTATTTTTTATTTCACTTTTATAGATCCGACTTCATGAAAAATTCAGCGTATTTTTTCCCAACACAAGTCATTTTCACATAGTAACGAATTTAACAAACACGCAATTAAAAATATATCATATATCGAGAATGTAAAAATAATATTTTAACTATATATCTAACAATGTCGTGTATATGTCAGGATCACTACTTGTTTCTCCTTTGCATAGAAATTTGCAATTTTTGCCTATACTTCTTTCATTTTCTTTTTTATTCCTCTTTTATATGATCACATGATTCTATATTTCAATTATTATTTCAGTACATTTATTGGTCCTTATAGAAACTCATTATTATAGCATGCCACTATCATGAAATATGGTCAGTTCTTGATCTTAGTCAAGTCCATTTCAAATAATAGACCGAGAAATTTAGTGAAATAGTAAATAGAATAGGGAATCAAAGTCATCATCTAAAAGAGGAATAAAAAAGAAGATGAAAGAAGTATTGGCCAAAATTGCAAGTTGCTATGCAAAGGAGAAACAAGTTTGTCTTTGCATAGGTTAGGTGAAGTCATTGGCGCTCCCTTTCAAAGGATAATGAAATTAATACAAATTAAAAGATGTGATTTAGATCTTATATAATATTATGATAGAGTATAGGAAGGTCTAACATTAAGAAATATACTTATTCAATAAAAATGCATAATTTTATACAATTCCATTCTCTTACATGCCCATCAAGTGATTTAACGTGAGATAAACATACTATACATGGTGGATGTAGTGTTTAAAGCACTGATCTAGAAGTCGCTAGACGTCTTCTAGACACTTGACCAGCGGCTAGCGCTTAGGCGGGACTAAGAAATCAAGATTAAATATCTTATTTTTTATTTATTTTCATTACCTACAAAATATAATTATCTCAACTTTTAATAAATCTCCAAATAATAATATTAATATATTATAAAGAAAACATGATAACAAAATAATATAACTAGTATTGATTTTATTTTATTTTCTGTAAAAAATTACCGCCGAGCCCGCATAGGAGCGTCTAGGCGCCGCCGTGCCCACCAAGCGCCTAATCGCCGCCTATCTGGCCAATTTTTTTAGCCAATTTATACAAATTGGAGGCGGCCGAGCAGCACCTAAGACAGTTTTTACTACAATGGTTTAAAGATCACAAGATCTTAATAAATGGCGATGATCACTTGATCATTTCCTTAATTTTATATAAATTGTCATATATATTAATAAAAATATATTATTTAATATATATATATATATATACACACGTGTGTGTATGTTTGTATAAAGTTATGTCCAGAATAGATCACCTCAAATCCAAGCTTGCTAATTATTAAACTTGATATATTGCTTGCAAAGACTTGAAAGCTTGCTAATTATTTTAAGTTATTTTTATTTAGATAGCCAATATTTATTGCCACATTAAAATTAACAATGAAAATAAAAATGAAAAATAAAGTATTATTATCTATTTCATTTAACCTTTTTTCAGACGGCCCCAAAACACGATTTAAAATAAAAGGCAACTATTATTATATATTTCTTAACAAAAATATTATTCACAAATTTGTATTTTTAACGGCAAAATTCATTTTTGGAACTCCAATTTGACTCTTGTCAAGAGAAGATACACAAATTCAGTGCACATCAGACTTAATAAACTGTTGGCCAAAAACATCATTAATATAGAGTTGCAGTAATTATTGGGAGCGGGATAAAATTTATTTATTTTTATGTCCAGCTTATTTCCAGTGTTGTCCACATATGTTATAGTTGGGTGACTAACTATTGGAGTCATCAAGCCTCGTTCGCAACCATAAAATTTCAACTCAATTAGAATTAATTTTTTCTCATACAAGTTACATTATGACTTTAAATTTGATTATTTCGACTTGAACTACAATTTCTGCATTAATAGCGAGGGTATCATAATCTCTCATGGTGAGTCGATTTCTTATTGGTCTTGGATGAAGAATATTTGTTCATCCAGAGAAAAAAATGTAAACGAAATAATTCAGATTTGGACTTTAATTAATATTGATCATTACGATTTGAACTATTATTGCACTATCTTTAAAAATTAGGACTATTAGCTCTACTCATTTTTTGAAGTAGGATAGGTTGAGAGAAAATGATCACAAGAAAGAAAAGTAAATAAAATAGTAACTGTTTCACGCCAATAAAAAATTTATTTACTAGGTTTAAAATAACTTAATCAATATATATATGGTATAAAGTGGACGAATTTATGTGATATTTGATGGTTGTTTCTATGAGAAATAAATTAATTAATATATTATCGAATTTGTTTTTGGTATTTGATTGATGTTTTTATGGAAAATAAATCAATCAATATATGCTATAAAGTGAACGAGTTTATTTTTTATGGTTGTTTCTATGGGAAATAAATTAATCAATATATGATATAAAAAGGGCAAATTTATTTGTGTTATTGATAGCTATTTTTTTTAGGAAATTTGTTGGAAAATTAATCAACATATGGTACTGAAATGCGCAATCTAATATATTGGTATTTAAGCGTGGCTCTTAATTTTTATTTCAATTTTTCGTATGAAATTACCATAATGAAATTATCGTAACTTTGACAAGATAATATGAATGAATATTTTGATATAATGTGCGTGTATCGATGTTTTTTTTTTTGTATAAAATGCTTCGGTCAATTTTTTATTTATATAATCAGTGGGTCTTGATTTAGTTCAATTTTTTTGTTATGCCATTTCAAATAATTTTTATGTGAAATGCATTGTTCAATTTCTTTTAGCATGATAAAAAGTGCCTCAATTTTTTGGTATAAAAAATATGAACAATAATATGACCGATTATTTTAAAATAAAATTTGGATTCGGTATTTTTGGTATAAATGATTGGAGTGGAAGTCAAAATTCCAATAAGGTCTTATAAAAATAGCATTGTATAACATATTAATCATTCTTTTACAAAAAAACTTCCACAATTTCCTTTCACAGTGGCTCAATTGATATTGTCTCAATATACTGATATAATCAAATTATTAATTGATTAGCAAATAACCAAAAATATAATTGCCAAAAAATCTCAAAATCAAATGTCATATAACCACAATTCAAACCACCAATTGATTAATTTGCCATATATAAATAAAAAATATAGAAAAAAAATAATAGCATCATATTAACCAAAATACGTTTGTCCTTATAAAATATAATAAGTGTTATTTGCACATGTTTAAAAATTCACATGAATCATAGGCAATTTATTGCCTTTGTTAAAACATTTTCATATCAAATATTTATGAAATTTATCTAAAGTATACTTTGTTATTCTTCCCGTATAAATTTCGTGTAAAACGATGTTGTCTACTCATCCTGCTATCGATTTAATTTTTATTACACAAATACATGATTTATATTAACTCAATTCAACATGAAGTGCGATTTGGCCTGATCAATGATGTCACTATAACTAAGAAGTTGCCCATGAAGTTGAGTACGGTTCGAATAATTGAATAGTAATTTGAGGCTGCATACAAGAATTACTTGGAAATTCTATTTCACGATGAGGACTTTTGACAGACCTCCCGGTTATTTCAAATGAGAGTCGTCAGGATATCGTGAATGCTGCAATTAATTCTTTTGATATATGGGTTGACTTTACCGTGTTGAGTCTTATAAAAAATATGTGCCTTCATGAATTGGATAGCGAACATTGGAGATGGAATCTGTAACGCCCGCTTATTTTTCTTTAAAAAGACTGAATTTTAGAAATAATTTGAATTTTTGAAAATTATTTTTCAAATAAAATACTCGTTCGGGCATTACTCAAAACTCTTTCATTTCTTTTCTTAGCTTAAGTCATCCTTAAGCTTTTAGGGAATTCATTTTCCCAAACCTTTCATCGTACATTTAAAAAACTCGAGACCTCATAAAATGTTCAAACATAAGTATCGACACACAGTCTTATCCATACTTTCCAAACTACATAATTGAAAACGACTGCGGAAGCCGTAAAAAACAAATAACATAACCCGACTACACTCGTCTCCTTGTGTCCGCCGGCAGCCAGTCAACCTGAAAAAGGATAATTAATGGGGGTGGCAAACAATAAGCTCTCTGCGGGAAACTATGCAATTATCCAGCATAATAACATATATCGTAGTCTTAATATGAATATAAATCATAAAGTCACCACTCCATCCAATCCCTCCATATAATCGTCTCATGTGTACACACTTTTACCGTCGGCTCGCCATCGTCAGGCGCTCAACGACAGGAGCTCAGCTGAATACCTGTCATTAGGTACTGTCTTTCATTAGACATTGCCTTTCGTTAGGTACATAGAGTTTGCCTTTCATTAGGCAAACGAAGATTTCATTATCCACCTTTCATTAGGCTAAGTACCTTTCATTAGGCACAATGTTCACATTCATACATTAACCATAAATATCATGCGATTATAAAGAATAAAAGCATAGTAGTTTAGCAACACTCACCTCAGTTCGGATAATGTTAAATTATGCAGATGCTTCACAGTAGGTTCGAGGGCTCGACTCCTCGAAAATGTACATTTAAGCAAGATAATTCTTATAAAAGAAGTATCCCATTTTCTTGGAAAATATTGAATTTCAATTTAATCAATATTGATTGACTGAGGACATTTTAAAAATTAATGGAAATCGGAACTCTCAGTTAAAAGTGGAAAAAAAAAGTCTTGAAAAATGGTTCACGAGGCTAAAAATAAGGTCCGATACGAAAAATGATTCAAACGGCTCAAAATTTACTTAGGCTCAATTTTTTAAAACTATCAAAATTTACTTAGGTTCGATTTTTTAAAACTATTGATGTAATAGTGTTATGAATTTTGTTAATTCTAGTACTTAATTTGCTAANGAGAAAAAAAAAAAAAAATCCGCTTAGTATTGAAAAAACTCCTAAATAAAATCGAGCAGTCACTCTTATCGTTATCCTCTATCCATGGCGTCTTCACTACTCTCCGTGTCCCTCTCCTCCACCACCGCCCCTCATCTCCAACGCTTTTCTTCCCCTTTTAAGGTATTCTGTTTTTCGAGTTATTCCAGTCTCAATTGACAATTCACACCAAGATTTTCCAGTATCTTTTTCATTTCTAACAGGGCAATGTGAGCACTTTGAAGGCCAATCCATCCCAATTCACCTCCATAAAGCTCTACAACCCTAAATCCAACCGAACTCGACCGCTCTCTCTCGTCTGTTCGGCTGCCTCCTCCGCGCAGGAATTTTCCGGTAGCACCGAGAATGTCCGGTTCCGGCTGAACAACCTGGGCCCGCAGCCGGGTTCCCGCAAGAATCGGAAGCGGAAGGGTCGGGGGCACTCGGCCGGGCAGGGCGGCAGCTGCGGCTTCGGGATGAGGGGCCAGAAATCTCGGTCAGGCCCCGGCGTTCGGAAAGGGTTCGAGGGTGGGCAGATGCCCCTCTACAGAAGACTCCCCAAATTGAAAGGGATTGCGGGAGGTAAGGCAGTTTATTTTTTAGGATATTGTGATTTTAATTGTGATTTTTTTAGGGCGATGTTGGTGGATTTTTTTTCTTTGTGGTGGTTTCTATTGGGGGCTTTAGTTTGACAGAAAAGGAAAATTTGATACAAGTGATTCTAGCAACAGATTTGTTTGCTTATTGTGTATCCATTGTATGTTAGGCGACACTAGGGCTGTGTTAGGCTCATAGAGGTAGAGAAGGGGGAAAAAGAAAAACTGATTCTAAAGGTTTTAGGTAGAGTATAACCAACATTACTGAAAGGGTTGGTGTTAAAAAAGGTATGATGGACTGACCCGCCTAACCGTTAGGCTGCTCATACAAGAATATGTGCCCACATTGTATTCACAAACACAATTCTTGTGTGAGAGAGCCTAACGGTTACGCGGGTCGATTTGACATTACTTCTGGAACAATACTGCACTTATATTGTGAAATGATATCCTTTGTTGTTGTTGTTTTGTAAAATATGTCACTTGTGTACGAAAGTATGCATATTTGTTAAAAAAAAATTAATTGCCTAACAATTAGGCAGCAGCCCCCGCCGATTCATAAACATTAGCTTTTGCTTCTAATCTCATTCGAAAGACATTATTACCGAGAAGGTGCCTTTGTATTGTCAGTTTCATGTTCAGACACAGTACAGTTTTTCTTTCAATTGCTGGTTTAATACAGAGCTTAAATTTTAGAGACTTAATTTTTGGTTTTTTTAAGTACATGAGGCCTGCAATTAGAAATGCAATTAGCTGACTTCACGAAAATCTGATGTGTTATGTTGAGGATTCTGCATTGCCACCATATTGTATTTTGTAGAAGTTCCCAACTGTAGATGTACTTGAAATAATTTNNAATTGATATATTGGAAATAAAAATATATTGGATATTAAATTCTCATTGGGGTTTATGTTGGGTATCCTCCCTCGGACATTCATAATATTTCTAGCATATTTTATAGGAAGCATGTGTAAAATGGATTATACTTTTAGTATGTGTACTAACTACTGACTACATTTGAGTGAGACTTGTATGAATATAGTATTCTTTTTTTATTGAAGGCATGCGTGCTGGATTACCAAAGTATGTGGCTGTGAACTTGGGGGATTTAGAACTAGCAGACTTTGAAGAAGGAGAAGAGGTTTCCTTGGAGTCTTTGAAGATGAAAGGTCTCATCAATCCATCTGGAAGGGAAAGGAAGCTCCCTCTTAAGGTAAACCAATTACGTGCTAAAAAACATATTTGATGTATACGTGTTAATTACTTGTGCTCGTGTAGGTTTGATAATTTAGTTTTTTGTTTTATTTAATCAACTGATGAGAATTCATATATAGTGAAATGCTGAAAAAAGACAGAAAAGTGGTTTTATTTTCTTTTACACCATCTTTTGTGGTAAGTGTGTGTTTTTTCCTACTTTATCATCTAACTGTCTTTTTTCTCATTGAACTAAACTAATCCTGTTATGTACTACCAGCGGCCGATAAACATTTAATTTTGTGTCCAACTTTGGCCGAGTGGTCTATAACTCCTTATATTATTTTCTTACAGTGTTAGCATCAATGTCATGTCAGAACAATGTGTAATATGTTGAAGGTATTGTAGTCTTGGATTAGTCCTTACGTTAATCGATATTGGGTTTAATTTGAAATACAGATACCTGTATAGTGTTCAGGTTTACAACACAGAATCGCGTGCGATTGTTTTCTTTTTCTTTTTTTAAACTAGGCAAATGATGTAATGTTAAATGCAGTGTAATTATTTTTTCTTTATTAGAAAATGAAGTCAGAAAACGGGTGAGGTTGTCTCAAATAACTTATCTTCGGTCCACAGTGAAACAATTAGTGTGTGATAGCTTCAGCGGCCTCTTTCTTTCTTTCTTTATTTCTTTTTTTTTCTTGTCTTGCTCATCGTATAATTCACCTGTGTTTATATATCTTTAATAGGATTCCACAAAAAAATAATAATCCAGTTATGATTGTTAAAAAGGCAAAATTGCATATTAATACACCACCTTTCCTGTTTTTGCAAATTAATCACCACCTTTGAAATTTTGCAAAGTAATACACCACCTTTATCATATTTGCAAATTGATACATGAATGACGGTTCCGTCCACGAAAATCTGACATGGCATTGAGCCACGTCAATGCCATGTCAGATTTCCGTTAGATTTTTTTTTTTAACGGAACCGTCATTCATGTATCGATTTACAAATATGGTTAAGGTGGTGTATTAATTTGCAAAATTATAAAGGTGGTGATTAAATTGCAAAGACATGAAAGATGGTGTATTAATATGCAATTTTGCCTATTAAAAAATGACGCATAGTTCTGAATTTACGATTGGGAGTTGTTTTTGGTTTCCAGATCTTAGGTGATGGACAACTGAGTGTAAAACTCAATTTCAAGGCACGGGCTTTCTCAGCCTCGGCAAAAGAGAAGCTGGAGGCAGCGGGCTGCTCGATAACCGTAGTTCCGGGCCGAAAGAAATGGGTCAAGGCATCTGTGGCCAAGAACTTGGCCCGGGCCGAAGAATACTTTGCCAAGAAAAGAGCCCAATCCGAATGGACCGAATCAACCAACTCCTCTCCTACTTCTGCCTGAGCCTCATCAACACATTTATGTATGTAGAAAAAAGAACGAAAATCTCGTACATGGTGTTAGGTTATGTGCATTGAAGTTGATTTTTAGTGAATTTTTTGTTAAGTCGGCTCAAATTGGACATGGTGAACCAAGTAGGGGTGTGACAATTCTTGAAAATTCTGCTGTATGTTTATTTATGTGTATGTTTAATTTTTTGTACTTGTTTTATGTCATTTTTCTTCAAAGTTTTCTGAAAAAAAAGGTGTTGGGTTTGCCACTATACTCTCTTCAGATACACACTCTTCTACATTTGTTGAATCGTTTTAAATACAAATATATGGGACCTATTTATCCACTTGATCAATATTGCTTTTATATTCTATTCTTAATAAAAATAATTATATTATTTTTAAAAATTAGAGTAATTAACTTTAAATGCGTGAACATATAAATAATATTATCTGATAAAAAGCTTAAATTAAGATTATAAATTAAAAATAGTAGAACAACAAAAAAAATGTTTTTTGTTGGTAGCAAAATGAGGCTAAATATGTTCATTTAAGTTGCACGAAGTTGGCGTATCTCTGGATTTCTAGCAATATAATCTTGAAATTCTCGATTTGAGCCTTAGAAGGGTTGTGTGGGGTCTTCATCCTCGTCATTGTACAAATGTCTTATTTCATCACATTCATCTTCAACAATCATATTGTATAGAAAATACATGTCAATATAATAAGTTTAAATTCTCTTCTATAACAAGATCGAGTAGGACCTTTCACAATTGCCCATTGAGAATAGAGTACCCTAAATGATTTTTCCACATCTTTTTTAACAACTTATTGTTTTCTTTAAATAACTTTATCTTAGGATTCGATGCACAAGAAAAAAGACTTTACAAGCGTAGTCCATTCTGGATATATTCTGTCTGTCAGATATACCCTTTTGTATATTGTGTGCCATTAACAATGAAATTAACGTTTGGTGCATTTCTTTGCAATACATTGTTAAATAAAGGAGATTCATATAATACATTGATATCATTACGTGATCCTGAAACACCAAAAAACGCATGTCATATCCATAAATCGTGTGAAGCAACTGCTTCAAGGACAATTGTAAGAGACCCACGTCCTCTTGTGAATTGGCCTTTCGAAGCAGCTGGACAATTTTTTCATTGCCAGTGCATCCAATCAAGGCTTCCAAGCATACTGGAAAACCGTAATTATTTTTCTTGCATCCGGAGAAGTCGTTGAACATCGCTAGCATTCGGTCTTCTCAAATATACATCACCTAAATTTAAACCACACTTTCACAAAATTTAGAAAGACATTTAATGGCAGTTGACTCACCTATAAGTAAATATTCATCAAGGTGGTCAGCTAAGACTCCGTAAGTCATCTGACGAATGGCTTTTTAAAGTGGTGACAAACTCTTTCTTTCTGCTGCATCAATGTTTTGCTAGAAATATGATGATTGTGTCTGCAGTGCATTCACACTTCGTAATTTTCTCGCATACAAAAACGTCTACGGAGTACGTTATCTGGGTAGATTGGATGCTTAGATAAATATTCACTTACGAGTATATCATGTCCGACTTCATAATTTCTCTAGATCAATCTTCTTCTTTTACGAATTTTAATTTCGTGTTGATATGTTTGAAGTAACTTGTAGCTTCGTTGAACGATGGATGATATCATTGCAATTTTTGAATCGTTTGTGTCCTCACCATCTTCACTATTGATGGTTGATGATGAATTAGAGTCTAATCTGGATGAGTATTGAGACATTTTTTTGGGGCTCTAAATGAAATTCAAAATTTTGTTCTAGTGATTTTTTATTCAAGAAAAGAATGTTCAATTGTTTTGAATATATAGGTTGGGGTATCACAACAAGTGCAGCGGACAAAAATACCCCCACAACAAGTATGACAAGCACTACTACTAACAAAAATAAGCCAACAAATAATTAAAAGACGAGAAAGAAAAAGAACACACAAAATTGGTAATGGAGCTCGACCAATATTGTCTATGTCTTTGGGCACCGCCAACCGCACCGCCAAATTTACTAAAATCATCAAGAAAATACAACTAGGGTTAAACAACGAGGAGACGATCAATTTTTTTTTTTCTTTAAATTTGGTTTTTTAGATTTGGTTTTCGAAGAGAGAGAGAGAAAAACTTTTTGAGTCGATGGCCCTATGAATTTATAATATTGGTTACTCAACTCAAATCTAACTCACCTAATCAACTTTTTAAAAATTAACTCTCCTTATTATCGAATCAAAACTAAATAACTCATATCCAATCACCAATAAGTTCGCAAGATTTTGTCAGATAAGTTGTAATTTATAAAAAAAATATTTAAAATTGCAAAACCAAAAGAGATTGGATCAAATTTTTCTCATCTTTAAAATTTTTTACAAGTTTTGTTCAAATTAGTTGTAATTTATAAAAAAAAAAAAGAAGTTATTAAAATTGCAAAACCAAAAGAGTTTGGTTGGATATTTTTTTTCTCATATATCTTTTGCAATTGCATACCTTGAAATGTGGCTCTACTCGTCTCTGAATTTGTATCCGAACATCACTAAAAGCAGACGAGAACGCCAGTTAAATAATGGCTGCTGCTATATCCTCGGCAGCCGCAGCCGCAGCTAGGCTCCGCCTCCTGAAACCGTTGCACGCCGCCGCTCCTCTCGTTTTTCCTCTCTTCAGCAACCTCAGACTCAGCCACCACCACTCCGCCGATCCATTGCTTCTCGCGGCCATATCGCCCCACCAACGCAGTTGCAGCTCCGTAGTGGTCTCTGCCGCCACCTCCTCCGGAGAGGCTACGAAGCCTCAGGCCGTAGAGCTGGGAAATGGCGCGAAAATCCGGGAGTTCCGTAAGAAATTCAAGATTGTTGACATTAAAAGCGGGGCCGATGAAGGGTTGAATCGATTGGGAGAGACTCTTGTGGTTAGAGGATGGGTTCGAACACTAAGAGCTCAGAGCAGTGTCACGTTTATTGAGGTGCGGCTTCGCATTGATTTCTATATCATGAATACAATTTTCTGAGTTTGTGATTTTTAGAATATTTTTTATTGGTGAATGAATGGAGCTTTTTTTGGTGTTGGTGTGTAGGTTAATGATGGCTCGTGCCTTTCGAATATGCAATGCGTGTTGAGTCCTGATGCGGAAGGTTATGATCAGGTACCAGTACATGTTGCACAAGTTTGTTCATGCTTATATAAGTTTTGTTAGTAATCATCAGTGAGCGGTTATTAATATAGCTAGTTATTCCCATGGCACTATATGATTAACTTCCATGAATAACATTTTCCAACTGTTTTGAAGTCTTTACTTATGTATCTGGTTCTTTATGTTACTTATTTTTCTGTTGCTATAAGCACACTTAGTAGACACGCAGTGAGTTTTATTTTTTCGAACCCGAATTTCATGCTGGTTTCACAAGTATTTGGCCGTAGGAAGTAGAGTACAGGACATTTTCACTTGTTTCTTTTCTCATAAATTTAACTAATTTTGATCTATTAGGACTCATTTTGCAAAATTTCGTTTATGTAATTTTAGTCTCCACACATCTTGAATTCCGTTCTGAAACTCTGAGATAGTTTTAGATGGACCATAAGCTGTGATCTGGAAGATGGTGGTTTGTGTCGTTACTTTTAAATGATGTGTCGTAGTGAAATATGATCCCCACATTATCAAAACAAAGTCTTAACATGATATTCTCAGTAATAGACCGGCTTTTGACAAATAAATTTTCAAACTTTGTAGGATGTATAGCATGATTGCACGACTTTTTCAATCAGACCTCACACAAAATGTTAAGTTACGTCCAAGTCTGTAAACTACAGAGATGCGGGATAGATTCTCCCTTTCAATTTTGTTGGCGTCACTTTGACCTACCACTACTACATTTATTTTGATGTTACCATCTTCAAACAACATCATTCTAGTGGAACTCCACCGTTTTCATATTATTATATTCTTAAATGGGACGACTACTGTCAATTTCAGTTGTATAAACATCATCATTGCAGTGGGACTGACCACATATGGCATTCTGAGAAATTATCATATTTGAACTAAATATTTTTATGGATCCAAATTGTTATATAAATGGATCATGAAATTGATCCATGAAAAAGTAACTATCAAACAGTTTCATTCGTGGCAAAAAAGAATCACAAATATCTCAACCAAACAATATAAACTATCTGAATTTTCTCTCTTGATCTAATCGCCCAAGAAAAATTCTCATATTCACTAGAAATCCAAACAAATTTTGTAATTCCAATTGGAAATATTACCTAACAACAAAAGTCCATCTGCCTTAAATTATAAGTCTCTCAATTGGCGCAATTTGACATTTTAATGGTGATGAATAGCTGGTGTCAGAAACTTATACTTTAGCACTATTGTGAAGGATATAATGGCCATTCTGCTGGTTAATTAGATGTATCCTTCGTTGCTATCTGACTTTTACATTTGGCGTGTGTGCATGCCCATGTCTTTAACTTATTCTTTCAACTAGTAATCATTAATTCCACTTTCTGTCTGTGGCAACTATCTGGATTTGATCATTGATCATTCTATTGCTATTGTCTCTCAATAGGTAGAGAGTGGTTCGATTTCAACTGGTGCTTCAGTATGGATACAAGGTACTATAGTGGCCAGTCAAGGGTCAAAGCAAAAAGTAGAATTGAAGGTTGACAAACTTGTAGTGGTACACACCTCTCCTCAAATCAATTTCTTTTTTATTATTCCTATGTTGAATTCTTCAATCTCCTGATTGTGTTGAATTTTGATAATAGTGTGGCCTGAAATCTTTTGTGGTGGTTTGTTAATGAAATTATGGAAAGTCCAACGATGTTGATGCAGCAAATGATTGGACTAAACTAAACATTGTCAAGTTAGTGCTTATTAGCTTTGTATGATTAGGAACCACTGTAGTTAAACTTAATGAATTGTGCTTCAATGTCCAAGAAGTTAAACATATCTACACATGCAGTAAGACAGTATATTTGGCTGTCATACAAGATTTGACAATCAATGATGTTTTAGTTGAAAAAGGAATGAAGCTAGTCTTAGGGGCTAATCCTGATACAGTTCCCTTCAAATGCAGGATGAAAGAGATAATTTCAATTGAAGTGGACTCCTTTCTCTAATATCATCTTTAATGTTACATTTATGCCAAACTTTTACGTAGTTGATCAGTCAAAAGTGATTGTTTAAATGATATTACATCAGCATAACATAACATCTGAGTTACTATTCACCTCATTCTGGAAATTTACGTACAATAACTAATAGGAAACAAGCTAAAAATCAAATATTAGTAAATGTTTTCTGATCAGTTTTCCCTAACAAATGCCTACAACAAGATTTAACATAAAGAGTACTATCTGGTTTTTTTGAGATATTTTTTTCTAGCTTACCTTTGTTGTATATAGTTATGGATGACCCATTAGCATCTATAAAGATCGTATAAATATATTGTATTATAATATGATTTTATTTTTTTTCCTTTATTTTTTCTTTTAGGTTGGCAAGAGTGACCCCTCTTTCCCTATACAGAAAAAACGGGTCAGCAGAGAGTTTTTAAGAACTAAGGCTCATCTTCGTCCACGAACAAATACTTTTGGTGCGGTAAGACTTATTTTTTCTACCAATCTATGTCCTATTCTATTGGCTCATGACTTAACAAAGTATCAATTTGACTGGGGAAGGATAACTTGACCTCCTTAATGGCCTTTCAATGAGTGTTCATTACGAATTTCTATAATGGTGATGTTGTGAATTTGTGTTACTGAACTCCTCGACTCGGATATCATTGTAAATAAGGTTAATTTGGTTGCAACTCAACCAGTCTTTATATAATCTTTGTGACTATATTACTAAATTTCTGTTGTTAGTACTTGAAGTATGTAAACATTAGTATAAGTTATTTCCCTGCTAATTGCTCTTTGCTCTGTAGCATTTTTATTTTACACCTAGTTGTGAAGAATATTAGGTATATTCAAACCCTTGTCATATATAAGATATCTAGGAAATGAAATGGAGAGAGCCTCTGTACACTGCTATATGCTCCTTATTTTCTATCTTGAAAGAGAAAAAATACTAAACTGACCCTACTAACCTTACAAACCAGTAACTGATAGTTCGATGTTCTATATTAAAAATACAGATCCTTTCTTACAACAGATTCTACTATTAAATGAACGTCCTCCCTCAAGACTAATAAGATGGTTTCTGCTGCAAATGATTTGTTTATTTTGATGCACTTTTTATACAGTTAATCCTTTGTTAAACACCCATTCGTCTTATGACTGAAATACCATTTTTCTTTCTCATCTTCTTTTTCTGCAATTTATTAGGTTTTGCTGCTGTTGGGTGCTTGTTTATCTCACTTATTTCACAAATTTTCATGTTTCAGTATTCTGGACCACACAATTATAATGAACAAATATTTGTTCCACATTTGACTTAGGTTTCAAGGGTGAGAAACGCTCTGGCCTACGCAACACACAAATTCTTTCAAGAAAATGGTTTTGTTTGGCTCTCAAGTCCTGTCATTACTGCTTCAGATTGTGAAGGAGCTGGTGAACAGTTTTGTGTTACGACCTTGGTATGCTCATTGGTTCAAGCTTCACATTTGATGCTTATAGATGCACTTGTTATCGTGCTGTGTGCTGTATACTGATTTATTTGGCTCTCCTTATTACTGTTCAAGCTGGCATCGTACTATAAGTCATTTATTTCTTTATCTTGCTTTTATCCTTGAATTGGATATCAGTGGAGTTATATTTCAGTGTTGATGACCCATCCTTGGTCATATTATTTGGAAACTTAGATTAGATACGTTAATGGCTGATTCCCGAATTCCACAAGATGATAAAAGAAATCCTGTGGAATAAAGAAGAATAAGGTAAGAAAAAAAATAATAAAGAAGAATGAGGTAGCATAATATCGTTATTCGTAACCCTACTTAAATAAAAAAAAAAAGGATTCCGAAGCCAAAACCCCGGCCTTTCAAGTCATTCTGAACTTCTGTGGTGAACATAAATATTCGACATCCTAAAGTTGAAATGTTAGCTGGCTTATCCATAAAGAACTATCAAACCCTTCAAAGTGGTTATGGGCCCTGTTTACGTGAAAACTCACGCAAAACTAGAGAAGGTACCTATGACAGTCTCTGCATGTGCCAACTAGAGAAGGTATCTATCAATTGTCCGGAAGAATATATAGCGGCTAGCACATTGCGGATCTGTCATGTATATTTTTCAATTATATCAAAATCTGAATATTTCTGTATTTGGGCTGGAGGATTTGATGGCGCAGTTTTTCTTATAATAGGTTCCAAACAACAGGGAAATTGCAGATTCTCATGTGAGTAACATCCCTAAAACAAAGGATGGTTTAGTTGATTGGTCCCAGGTAAATCTTTCATTACTCGTATGTTACTCGAGTCTGAACTATAGCCACCATACATGTATGTTATAGCCAGTCAGTTTCTATAATCATTCAGTTTCATGCGAACTCCTATTAGAGCTTTGATAATGTCATTACATGAACTGTGTATAACGTGGATCATTATTGAAAGGATCTCCCATTCAATATTTCTTTTGTTAAGGCTTGATATAATGTTCAGTTCCTTGTAATCGATTTTCAGTTCCATTACAGAAGATTATATAGATCTCGGTAACAAAGACTAGAAAATAAAAACTTCTTTGTTTTAACACACAAATTTTATGACCAATACCCAGATTGTTATATTAGATAGCTTGCTTAAAATGATTTAAATAGTTTCTAATGAAGTAACATTTCACTTGGGGGTATTGCACATTTGCACTACACACCTTTTCTTTATTTCAAAGTAGACACTTCCTACCTCATTATCATAATTTGAACAATGCATTGTGCTGTATGAACTGTTTTTTAAAACCCTAAGATCTTGACCATACCCCAATAGAAAAAATTATAATTTTGTTTATTTTCTTACAGCAACTAACTTTGTTTTCGGATAATGAACTGTGTTTCTGATTAATTGTTATTAACTTATTGGCAGGACTTTTTTGGAAAACCAGCATTTCTGACAGTATCTGGGCAGTTGAATGCTGAAACTTATGCTACTGCTCTTACTGATGTATCAATCTTCACTTGTCAATTTAGTCGATCTTGCCCTTTAAACCTAATACTTGATGATTGTGAGCTACTTCTTGATACTTCTCCCCATAACAATGCTTTTTAAATATTATCTGGTTTACATATTTTTTTATCAGGTCTATACTTTTGGCCCCACATTTAGAGCCGAAAATTCCCATACTTCTCGGCACTTAGCTGAATTTTGGGTACACCCTGCATCTATTGCCTACACATTTCCATTGTTTTTCGTATATAAAATCATATACATGTATATATAATTATGCATTTATTTTCTTTTTAATTGCTTTCTTTAATGGAAGTGGTGCTACAAGATGCATATTTACACAATTTAAACTTGTAATTCTCTTCCACTCAAGATGATAGAGCCAGAGCTTGCATTCGCTGATTTAGAAGATGACATGGCCTGTGCAACAGCATATCTCCAGTATGTAGTATGTTACTTTGCAAACCTAGTTGTCCATTTAAGGTGTTATGAGATTATTCTTTCATGACCTCTGTATTTGATGTAGTTTTGGACAACTGACTTGATACTTTCTTCATGGAAGGTACAATACATTCTTGATAACTGCAAAGAAGATATGGATTTCTTCAATACTTGGATTGAAAAGGGAATTATTAACCGACTAAGTGTATGGGTTCAAGCTCCTTCGCTTGTTTGATTTATTGTTACTGTCAAACAGAAAACAACTCGTATTATATATTTTTATCGAACATTTCTTTTTTGTCATTTGGTCTGAGGGAGGGGGAAGGAGGTTACTATTCATAGAGCTGAAACATTGCCTTTGTTATTTGTGTACTATCAGGAAGTTGTAGAGAAAAGCTTTGTGCAATTGACATACACTGATGCAGTTGAACTTCTTCTGAAATCAAGGAAAAAGTTTGAATTCCCGGTAATTGTTCTTTCTTCATATTATTACCTAGTGTCAACTATCTATCAATTACCAAATGTTGATGATGCCCTTCGGGTTTTATTTCAAATTTTGGGAAGCCAAACCTAGGTTATTACATAGGTGCACACATATGATAAAATTCATTCTCCAGGCTTTTAGGGGCGCCCCAATTTGGTTCAACATGGTCAAAGAATTGGATCAGCCCTTCTTTGATCTAGATTCGATTCAGAAAAAAAGCCGAAAGTCATTTTTTTTCCAGTTTTCTAGTACTAAAATAGCTTTGCCAACCATATTTGGAGAGAACGTACGAAAACCAATTGTAGAGTTCATGGTGTACAACTTTGCTTCTTCTACACATAAGTGTGATTGTGTGTATCAAATTGCATTTTATAGAATTATTATTCAATATCTTCTATCTGGTAAATATGACATTAGCCATCCATCTGTCGGAATAATCTAGTGGCCTAAATACCTTCTGGATTATCTTAAAAGTGTGTTATTTTTTTTTATTATTATTATTATTATTTTTTTGTAGTAGTAGTAGCACCTAAAATTTGATTCAGGTTGAAAAGTCAGTTATTTACGAGTTCATTCCTTTTCTTCTTTATAGGTAACCTGGGGATGTGATTTGCAAAGTGAGCATGAACGCTATATAACAGAAGAGGTGTTCAGTGGATGCCCTGTTATTATAAGAGATTATCCTAAGGCAAGAATAATGCTTTACTGGTGTTACATACACACTTGAACTGTTTGCTCATGTAATAAATACTTCTTTTCGCGATTGACTCACAGGACATCAAAGCTTTTTACATGCGGCAAAATGATGATGGAAAGACTGTTGCAGCCATGGATATGTTGGTTCCTCGGGTACATCACTAACAAACCCATGATATGTCTCTTGTTCGAGCCAATTGGGTTTTATTGGGGACACAAATGTTCATCATATTCCAATTAGTATCCAGTAGCCAAAAGAAAAAAAAAATAGAAACACACACACACTGAATTTAACTTAAGCCTAATTACAACAGGGAATAGATTATCGTCCAGATTTACTAACAGCATATCAAAAAACTCAATTCATATTCAAAATCTAACTCAACTTTAACCCAACTCCACTATCATCAATATTATCAATATAATTAAATAATAGCAACCAATCATTTTTACATATCACATCAACTTTAATTTACTATTCATCCATTCACATAATTTTGATTATCACTTCACTTCATCTCTCTCATACTTTTACATCAAATCAACTTTAATTATTTTATTTTAAATATTTTTTTAATGCAAAATCAAAATTCCACTAACAACTAACCATGCCACCTTTTTCAAAATGAACTCTGGTTAATCAAAAATTCATTTTGAGCGGATATATGTGTATAGAAACACGCCCCTAACATTTGGTTCTATTGTACAATTTGGTGGAAGGTATTTTGTAACCTAGAGAATGGGTGGAGTTTTGTGTAGTTTGGCTAAATTCGAGGTTAGTTCTTGTAACTGTATGCCACTTGATTAATAATAGGCTTTTATATTGTTATTGTCAGGTTGGAGAACTTATTGGTGGAAGTCAAAGGGAAGAGAGGCTCGATTACTTGGAACAAAGGTTGGATGAGTTGAAGCTCAACAAAGAGAGCTATTGGTGGTATCTTGATTTGCGGCGTTATGGTTCGGGTGAGTTTTGTGCTTTCCAAACTTTTACAAATTAATCATTTGTGCAATTTTTTTTCGTATCACAATTTTTTTTATTTTTTTTTTCGTTATAGTCTCTCGTCTCACAATTTTATTTTTTTCTTTTCGTTTTTTTTTTTCTTTCAGTTCCTCATGCTGGATTTGGATTGGGTTTTGAAAGGCTTGTACAATTTGCGACTGGAATAGACAATATAAGAGATGCAATTCCTTTCCCTCGAGCACCTGGCTTAGCCGACTTTTGATGTCTGTATGCTCATCAAGTTCTCCTGGTATTATTTGTATTTTTTTATTTGTTTTTTGAATTTGGACCTTTAGTAGGAACTGAATTTGGTACGAAAGATGGATTTGTACGGTTTTGGAGATTATTTGTTTTCATGTTTGTCTTTTGAGGATTTTTGCAGTGAAAGCAAACAAACTGCTATTTTGATGTGTTGTGCATCAAGTATTTCATGGCTTATAAAATTCTTCTTGTAAAACATTTGATACAAAAACTTATTTGTCCTGAAATTAATATATTTTTGAATTATTAGATTTTCTGCGGCCCCTTCCTATAATTTGCAATAGACGTAGTTCAGTATAAGTCTAGATCAACAAACTTATCAGTTCAACATTCAGTTTCTGGTATATCTTAGAGTGAAAAAAACATAATAAGAGGCCTATTTCGAATTACTAAATTGCAAATAGGAATTCGACAAGTTATCTATAAAAAAAACACAAGAATTATTTTGTCTGAATATCATTAGATTTGCATATCATTAGATTTGCTAATGAAAGAGCTCTGAGAGATAGTGAGACGTTCCCCCAAAAACTAACATGTTTAAATAGTCGCTTCCGCTTTTAATTATTGTGTTTTTACACATTTGCGCTATTGTACATACTCCCCACAAATTTTCAAATAATAATAATAATAATAATATAAGAATTTTGAAAAACTTATTTATAAAATTATTAACACCCCCTGCAATACATCATGTTATACTATCACTTGTAAATATATTCACAATCTCAATAATTTTAGTTGCATTTCACAACAAACATTTCATGTTACTTAATTTTTTAAGTAAATTTTTAATCGTATCTTTCTGTAATACAATATATTAATACATAAATAAAATAAAAAATTATACTCGATCCATGGTTATTTATCAAGACCGGCCTAACAAGTCGATCCAGTGCTGGAATCAATTTTATGGGTCATTCGAACTGGTTAACAAGTAACCGGTCAAAATCGTTTTTACTTTAGCATTATTTCAAAAATATTTCTATATTAAAAAGAAAAAAAATATGTATCTATATTTATGAGATATAATATTATGTATGTATATAAGTTATATATAAAAATAGTATACATATATAATTTTTAAATTTTTAAATTGATTATTCGATTACCTGATAACAAATGAATGTGATCCAAACTCCAAAGGCTAGTCTCGATTTTAAATTTTAAACCCGAATATTATCCGAAGTCCTAACCCATTAAAGCCACACATTGCCGTTAGTTAGGGGTGTTCTACCCGCACGCTTTTAGGACCAATTATTTATTACTTGGCTGTAAAACATAAGAGTATTACTATCCGACCGTCCAAACAGAAAAAAAAAATATCTTGTATATAATATAATTATCTTCCATAAAAAAATAAATTAATAATCCATAGTTTGACCTTACAAAAGTTAATTCAATTTATTTATAAAATCACGTGTAGACTTGCTTCGTCGCCCCTGTTTCATCATTCATCGTCTCTGAGAGACCGACCGTTTTCTCTTCCATATCCCTTTTCTCTTTCTTCTTTTTGTTTAATTCCATTTTTTCCCCTTGTTTTTTTATGGTTTTCCCCTTGTTTTTTTTGTTCTTCCCTTCCCTCGGTTATATCTCAAGGAGAAGCCTGCTAATTTTTGTACAGATTTATTCAGGTAAAATCGAGCTCCTTTTAGCTGTGATTTTGATTTTTTTTTTTATCGAAGTTCGTCGCTAATTTCTAGGGATTTTTCGTGTGTTTCTTAATTTTTTTCATGATGATTTATTGTATAGTTAGTACTTCTACACTGAGATCACCAAAAATCAGTTAAAGATGCTAACTTTAGTGATCCCATGCTTGTTTAGTTCAAGAATTTCACCAGTTCTTGTCAGATCTCAGCGTTTTTTTAATGTTTTTCTGTTTTAGAAAGTAAAAAATTTAAATCTTTGCTCAGCAAGCAGCTTGAAATCCCAAAAGAATCACCCTTTGCTGCCATATTAAACATGAGATCTGTTAGTAAAGCTTGTTGTTAATGACTAAAAACATACAAAAGTTTCTTATTTTCATACAGATCTGCTTGCTCTCCATTTTATTCTACATGAAATATCTTAGTACAAAACAAATATAGATACAAATATAAAATCAAAATTGAAAATAATTTAACAAAATAAATAAATTCATTAATGTATACTTTGCCAAAATAATATTTAGAATAAAATAATTAGAAAAATAAAAGATTGAAGAAAAAAATTGTAACCCGGTGCTACATGTAGCACATCTTCAGAGTAGAGCGAAGATGATGTGCAAAATTGCAACAATCTTTTTGCAGCTGAAGTAAAGTTGCAAAGTAGAGCATTGATTTTAATTGCTGTGTTTTAAGAATAAATTACCAAGATTCTTTTGTCTGGTTTCAAATTGTTTTCCTCTTAGAAATCTGTTGTACCTTAACAGGATTTCCCTT